CATCACACCTGGATTATGTAAGCTTCCTATTATTAAGCTGTGCTTGGTGACCTCTGCTATTTAGAAGGACTGGTGTGATTTATTTTGTAAGGGCATCTGGGCTCAGTGCAGAAAGTGAAATTGTCTCCATTTGGCTTCCACTGAATTCTCCATCATAAGGACTCAATTAGCATAGACAAGAGAAATGGAACTCACCTTTAGGTTATTGTCACATTCTTTCCTGCCAGGATCTGATTGTTCACCTCAGTACTGTCCAGCTCATTAGAGATTCTAATTATAAACATATCAAGGGCAAGTCTTCATTTGCAGCTTCCTTCAGGGCAGTTAGACTGGGGCTCTTGGACTCTGGGGTTGTTCCCTTCAGCATTCAGAATGGATCCAGCCTTGTCTTCCGCACCCTGTTCCCTGACTGAGGCTCTCACCGACATGTGTTTTCAGTTCATTCGGGGAAGAGTTTTGATTTTTAAAGAGTGGCGGAGAAAGGCATGTTTACCCTCCCAAAAGGCTGCATTTTATTTTAGATATTTTTTTTTGTTAGAAAGTATTTTAGCAAGTCATTTCAAAGTGAGCTATGAATAAATAATCCCTAACCATTTCTGTCCTCATTTTTCTTAGTGACTAGAGGGGCAACCGGCATTTCCTCTGAGTTTCTACTTATGAGAGAACCTCAGAATTTTAAATCTAGGAAATGTAAATAGCAACTAATTACGGGCAACTTCATGCAACCATTGACAAGCAAGGAGCTGGGCCTGGTGGGACATGTCTGTAAAGCCAGCAACTGGGAGGCTGAGGCAGGAGGAACAAACATGAGTTATAAAGTACAACCTCGTCTGCAGAGCAACTTTGAGTCCAGCCTGGCTACAGAAGACCCTGCCTCAAAAAGCAAAACCAACAAAAACAGCTGGGAAGATAAGAGAAGCTAAAACTCTTAGACCTGGGTTGTTATGAATACACACACACACACACACACATACACACACACACACACACACACACACACACATACATACATTCCTAGAGTAAACCATGGAAGGAAGGAAGTATTTAACATATTTTATAATTTCAGACGTTTCAGTCCCTTGTGATGGAGATGGCAAAATGTGGAGCATAGAGAATGTGGGAGGGGAAGAGCATGTTTCTGAGTAAGAATGAGTGAATGAATGAATGAAGTGGTAACCTTCTCTGGAAAACCTACAGGCACCCAGAGGCATGCCTTAACAATGTCTTACAGCCTTCTCCTTCCAATCAAGTTAGAAATGAAGGTTAGCCATCATCACATCGAGGCATACCGAAGAGCCGGTAAGCTAACGGCAGGGTCTTATTAAATAAGGTGTTCACCAATCCATTCATCTTCAAAAACAGAACTATGGGTTCCAAACTCATTTTTCTACCAACACTCTTCGTTATTGTTGCTGTTAACATAATGCTGGTCACTCTGACAAACATTTCCTGAAAATTCGATGCTGGGTAACGCTTAGCCCAATAACCATCCAGTTCTTGCTGAGGCAACAATCCAGTGCATGAGCTCCTGGCTCCACTGCTGCCTCTCAAGGGCTCACTTGGATACCAGGCTTCTTCCACACACAGTTCTATCACGGACAACAAGGGCTTCCATTGTCAAGGATCTAGAACATTGCTTACGACATCGTCACCAGCACACACTGTTCGTTTCTGTGTTCCATTTTCCAACTTTTATCTTTTAACTTTTATCTTCCTCTACACGCTGGATGCCACAGTACCCTTCATTTATACAGCACAGCCATTTTACAGAACCCACATTCACAAGCATCTGTCAGCGTGGAGAAGGATAATAATCATGAGCCACAAATCTTTTTTGCTGCAATACTGTCTGATGGCTCTTAGAAGTCCTGCATACCCTGTGGCCAAAGGTTGTTGTGGGCTATTGCTTACGTGCTATTATTTTTAATAGTGTGTTTTACTAATTGAATAGGAAAAGTACTTCTTTTGCACCTGAGAGTGTTCAGAATATGCTCTTCAAAATTACAACCACCTGGCATTTAGCACAAACATGAATGGGAAAGTGAGAGTGATTCCTCTTCTACCCTTTCTCTCTTAACGTAAGAAATCATAAACCTAGAAAATATTTTCAGACTTTCCCCTGAAATAATTTAAAGACTTTCATATGAAATGCGCTGCCACACATTTCATAAAGGAGGTGTTCTTATCTGTGAACACACCGGGATACAGAGTATAAACAGACAGGTGTTCTTATGTCCCTGTCTTACAATTAGATCATGCCCCTGACTCCAATCACACCTCTGCACAACTGTCTACTTCTTCGTCAGCATAAAAGTGCACGTGTTTCTGCTTGATCTCATTTCCATATAGAGGCTCTTATGCCACCTAAATATATATATATATATATACATGCTTAGTATGAAGTATACTATTTTAAAATTGTCTTTTCTAGGGCGACTTTGGCTACAGCTCCATCTTTACAGTAAGATCCTCAAGAAAGCATGCAAAGATAATAGCACCAGTGGGAAGTGATACTAGTTAAAACTTGGTGAGCTTTAGGGGAAGCATTGTTCTGATAATCTACTTTTCTTGTAGAGGACTCCTGTTGAAGGTGTCAATTCCAGTTTCAAAAGAGGCTATTTCGATTATCCTAAATGCCAAACCATTTAACATTGAGGGAATAAAAACAAACAAACAAACAACAACAACAACAAAAAAAAAACCCACCCTTATCCCTACAGTTTTAGCCAACCAATTTGTGACTCTTCTATTAAGGAAGCTGCCTGGGAAATGATCTTCCTCCTGAAAATCGAACATTGTTCCCACACTGTCTGTTGCAGTGTGTCATGCTTGTATGCATGTGCCACCTCCTAGCATTATGTAACTCGAAAAAAAATGAGTGACTATGCAATGGCACCAATGGCAGTTGACTGAGTGAGTGTTCATACCAGTGTGTGCCTGTGAGCGTGGGGGCGAGTGTGTGCTTCTAAGTGCATCAGGGAACAACTTAATGTTAGGAAGAACATGGCAAGAAGTTATGGCTCTGTTCTCTGTGATGAAGACACACTAGGTGCCGTTGTCATGGAAGAGCTGTAGCATTTCCTCCCTGTCCCCACACTGGTCCACTGTTGTGTCACATGGTTTCTAAGTAAATGCTTTCCTAGATATCACAATATTAGTCAGTAATGCCATTACTATCTCTGTCTAGGTTTTTTTTTTATTTTTATTTTTAAAAGAATTTTATTGTAAAGATCATCTACAATTTTGTATCCCCAGTTACCTATCAATATAATTAAAATATTTACTTGATAACTAGGTTACTTAGCAACTGATTAGAAATCTTATTGGCATCGTCACTCGTGTTCTCGTGACTTGGTTGGGAATGGGAGGAATTGCGGATTTCTGTCTACTCAGTAAATGTGGATAGGCCAGGCTGAAAATGTCCATGGCTTTAAGTTAAAATAATTTCAAAACAATATAGAATAACATGGCTGACACTTTCCCTACTCAGACGCTTGCTAGAAACTGATTCAAAAGAAAATCTCTGTAGTCTTCCTGTTCTAAATCAACTATTTTAACAGTATTTTTCTCCGGAGGATTCATTTTTTAAAAAAACTTTTCATTGGTTCTTTGTGAATTTCACACCATGCAATCCAATCCCATTCATCTTCCCCTTACCTCATACCTACCCTCCACCCTTTCTAGGTCCATCTTTAACAGAGGAAAAAAAAATCTCGCTGTGGAAGCTGTAGTGTGTCACAGTGTCCCCCACAGTATACCCTTTTGTCCACATTTCTTTGTTTGCAAATGTTCATTACATTGAGTCATTGGTCTGGCTCTAGGTGTCTGGCTTCTGCTACACTATCCATTTTGGACCCTCACTGGGACTCCTCGAGGATATTCCTTTGTTGCTCTGTGTCATGGAGACCGTGCAGTTTTGTATGCCATCCAGCGGTTGACCCCTGGGTTAGATGTTGGGGGTGGGGCCAATTCAAAGGCCTAGGTCTGTACCTGCAAGGTATCTGAGCCGCTCAGCCACACCTACACCACCAGGGTGAGATCTTCTACCCTGCCCTGGCTGACCCATCCAACTCTCATGCCCTTAGGGCTTCCTCACCAGAAACTCCTGCAGTGTGTGTGTGTGTGTGTGTGTGTGTGTGTGTGTGTGTGTGTGTGTGGTGGTGGTGGTGGTGGGGGAAACAGCTCTCCTGAGATCTGCATCTGGTTAGGGCAGGGTTAGCTCTCCTTCTTCATGTCCTCAGGGCCAGCTCTCACAGGACGCCCAGCTGAGGGATGGGACCAGTTCCGCACAGCCCTCAGACATCAATATGTCGGCTGGCAGTAGATCAGACCAGAGTTGTCTGCCTGGCCTTTGCTAGCAACAGATCCCTGCTGCTACAGGGCCGTAGATCCAGATGTGGTCCCTGGTGGCAGCACAGACGAGGACCCCACCATGGCCCCAGGGGGCATCACAGACTACTCACATCAGGCTGTTCCTCACTACCCCTGCATCTCCTCCACTTTTGCTCCTCTTCATTGTACAAACATCCTTCTGTTTCTTTTTCTCTTCCATTTCTCCACCGCTTACCTGCTCCTGTAGTGGCAGCCAGCATCTCCGAGAGTCTAGGATCATCTCAGGAGTGATCTCAGAGTGCTATGCTCCACTTGCGTATTTATGGCCTCTCAGGAATGGTCTGCTCCCCCCTGCACAGCACTGAACTGGTGGTCATCCAGGCTAGCTCCCAGTGCTCCCCCCAGGCTACCAGGCAAGTAGTCATCACTGGCTTGTCCTTACACAGGCCAGGCCAGGTGGCCCCGTGCAAGGGTCATCTGTCTTGAGCTTACTCCTGCCTGGGGCCGTGGTCCCAGGCTGGGTTCTTCTAGTCTCTGGCTTGCTCCCAGCCCTAGGGGTCTTTCTGGGCCTGTGTGGTGCTGGACTGATGATACTTTTAGGCTAGCTCACTCTCTATGCCCTGTGGATCCGGACTAGGTGGTCCTCTCAGGCTCGCATGTTTTCAGGCAGTGTAAGACTTGTAATCATTCAGATGTTCACAGCTCTGAATGAACACTGAGCTTCGACATAGCATCTCTCCTCTCTGCTGCCTCTTGACACACAGCAGCCACACCTGAACTGTCTCTAGGGGCAAAGAGGATTCTTATAGAATACTTTAAGACTCATCTGTTGAAGCAGTTCAAGGGTTTCTTACTAGGCTACAATAGATATCTAGGCCATAGGCAGTTCTATAAGAGGTGGCTTTGAATTCCAGGTACATGATGTGGTGTCCTCATCCAAGGACAATGAGATATATTAGAAATGAGACATATTAAAGCAAAGTGCAAAGCATAGTAACTTGAGGGAAGGCAAACAAGTGGTGGCTAAAACAAGTCAAGGAAGCCTATTAATGATTCCTCTGGCACCAGCTTCAGATCTATAAAGGCCAACATGTATGTTCAGTATTTAGTCTTTGTTCCCTGGTAGAATGCAAAGCGTGATACACTTTTGAAAGAATCAGACTAATTTTGTAACCTATGTTTCTTTTAATTGCCCTATAACTTATATTTTCAAGTTTTAGGCCCATGTTAATTAAAGCCTTTTAGTGCTTCTCCAGAGAGCCAAGGAATGTGAAAGTTCCTGACATTAGCCATCTGTGAGGGCAGAGATAAGGAAGAGAACAAGCAGAGATCTCTACTAAATGGAGAGAAAATCACCTGCTGGCACCTGTGAGATGAGCTTTGTTGGAAACTGGGCCAAATGGCCCCAATCCTTCTCCTGAATAGCTCCTGACCTATCATCCAAAGCCTGAAACCCCCACTCCTCAGAACAGACATGGGATGAGTTAATCGCTCTCCCACCTTTAACTGTGGCTATATCTCATATGGCAGGAAATTCCAAACTGACTTGAAGATCAGATATTTACGACAGGGCTGACTGGACCTAAGGGTGCCCAGAACCAACCAATTATTTTAAAAGTTAAATACCTCATCCAATCCTGACTCGCCAATATTGCAACCCCTGGAATTTCCCATGCTTTGTCTTTTAAAAACCCAAGGCCTTTGTCTCCTGGGGTCACTCCATGCTGACCAGCAGGGGTGACCTCATTGCACAGTGGACAAAATAAACCTTTTGCAATTTTGCATCGATGATTAATTTCCTGGGTTCTCTTCGTACCTTCTTAAAATTAGGCTCATGTTGGGCCTAACACTTTGTCTTTACAAATCCATGCGTCTGTTGTATATTTACTGTCTTCAGCTGAGCACTCCCTCTTATTTTATGGAGGCAAATCTGGCATCGCACACTGTTAGTTCATGTGTGCCTCTTGCTAGTCCATCATGTGTTCAGTCTGTATTGCACAGTTATGTAGTGTTATTCACTACACATATGAATGGGAACATTAGCCGTAGATCTGATCAGTACTGGTGATTTTTGTGCAGCTTCTAGTTTAAAACAAAGGATGAGTGTGCCTGAGGAAAGTTTCATAATGTCTCTAGCCATGGAGCCGAGACTGAGCTGATTAGCAGAAGGCTTTGGGTGGAACCCTGCTAAGGATTCAGGACCTGTAAAGAGACAAAAAGATAACAGAGAAGCCTCCAGGAGCTACATAAGAAATCTTCAAAAAGAGAGAGGCATGGTTGGAAAGGAGACTTTTCTTTGGAAGACTGGAGACATTTTGCTTTGTTTGGGCTTCCAGCCCACCTGGAGAGAGAAAGCCTCCTTCCCAGTGAGAGTCCCGAACAGTGGCAATAATCTAATTAGCATTTCAAGTGGAAGAATAAAAGGTGCTAACCCCCCAGTGCCCCAGAGAGCAGAGTGACAATGCATTGCAATTTAAACAGCCCTTCTTTCTTTCACTGTCCTCTTTTTATATGAGTATGTAAATAATTTTATTCTCCCTCCTAATTTCTTCAATCTTTTTAATTTAATTTGGTTTTAAATTTCTCAGTCTGGTGGTGCTGATGACAACCTTTAATCCCAGCTCTGGTGAGGCAGAAGCAGGTGGATCCCTATGAATCTGAGGCCAACCTGGCCTACATAGTGAGTTCTAGGACAGCCAAAGCTACACAGAGAAACCCTGTCTCCAAAACACAAAGGGAAAAAAGTTTCTCTTTGTTTTGTGATAAGGGTTGGCTTTCTTCAATGGGATGGGTCTTAGGTTTGGGCCAGGCATTAGCTGGACATTCCCTCAGTCTCTGCTCTATCTGTTTTAGCTTTGTCCCTGAAGGTCTTGTAGATAGGCTAAGTTTTAGATTGAGGTTTTAGTGGGAGGGTTGGTGAAGCCCATCCACTTGGAGTCTTTTCTAGATAAAGGGTGTCCTCTTCAGTCTCCACGGCCCCTGCTAGTAGAAGTCTTGGCTAGAGTCCCCCTCGTAACCTCCCAGAAACCTATTCTGATTTAGGTCTGCAGCTTGACTCAGAGAGCCCATACACACACCTTTTCTTTTTTTCTCTGCAGGCCTTCTGCCCTACTTTCCTCAGGTCTGATCTCCATCCATTTGTCTCTATTTTGCCACTTTCTGCATGAATGTTCTCATCCATGGCACTAGGGTATTGACTATATTAGCATAAATCTATGAGTTTCCATCTACTTTATGTGACATCCACGTTCTTTATCTATATTCTATATAATATTTTCATTTCATGAATTACTCCTTCAAAACCTAAACCATACAACCAAAACAGAAACCTCCTTCCTTATGGTCTTTTCTTCTTAGAATCTTTTTTCTTGATGTCTATTGAGTTGGAGTTTTTAATCATCATCATAAACACAACTACGACTTATTTTTAATAATGTTCTATGACCATTCAAACAAATGCACCTCCATTCCACCAAATTTTCAATGTGTGAAATGAAAGCTAATATACTATATCACCCTTATAGTATATAATTGAAAGTATTTTCTTTGGTCTTTTATGCATAATCAGTAATTGTTTTGTCAATGAATCCTAAAATAAGGACAGAGATTTCTAAATAAATTTCTAATAGATTTCTAAGTAAGTAAGCTAAAAAGTTTATAATATAGTCAAGTTTCTTTAAAAATTAAATGTAATTCTTCTAGAGAAAAAGTATTATAAAGTTATATTTTATTATAGAGTAAGTAAAAAATTCTATGGAGCAACAGTTCTCTTCAAAAATTTTCAGCTAAAATCATTATGCTGTTTTTGGTTTCTCATCCATAACAGTTCATGTTGCTGAAAATGCCAAATCTGTCAACTCATCACTGTTGTGGTCATGGTTTTCATTTTGGACAGAGATGTGCTTGTTGCTTCTCACATTTACAATCATTTTTATTGTTTAATCATTTTCATTGCATCAGTTAATGCAAGTGTCTTCTAAATTGTTTGCTACAGGTTATAGTAACTCTGTACTTTTCACATTTCATTTACTTTCTATCTTTATTGGATTAAATGATACAAACGAATTACATATTAAATAACTTTGAAGTCTGCTATGTGGAAAATATAGCATTAAGTACATGGTAGAAAAGAAGATTAAAAGGAGGAAAACACAGCAAATTTATTTAACAATGTTTTCATGGCATGGAGGCCTTCAGAAATGAAGATACATTTAAACCATGTCCAATTTAGGAAGTGGATAGTTGTGGAGAAATGTGACTCGGGAGCAGGGTAGGGAGGGAAGAAGCTGAAGGGAGCTTAAACAGGCCTTTCCTCAGCTGCTTCATGAGCCCTCTGTGCAGCACTCCTTTCATAGGCTCCTGGTCTCCTGATGCCTCCTATGGAAAGGAGATGAGATACCTCTCTATGTCTTATGGCTTTCTTTATGGGAAGGGGCTTCTGGTGTCTATGATACTTCTCAGGGGAAAAGAAGGAGGAAGGAGAAGGCCAGACAGATGTTTCTTCTGATGTCATAGTTTCCTTCAAGTTGAAACATTCAGCACACCAAGACACCAGCTTTAAGCTCTGTACACCAGCCCTGACAGGAATATCAGAATAATAAATTCAAACACAACCCCCCTTTTAATTGTTAGTTCCTAGAGGAAAGAAGCATATAGTGAGTATCAGAACAAGCCCGTGTGCCTGTAATCCAGAATATTCGTGTGTCCCAAACACTAATTAACTGATCTTGAAATGTTCTTTTTTTTTTTTTCCTATAGCAAAATGAAAAAGAAGATATGTTGTATAATGGCATATTGTTTTGTTTGTTTTTAAGTTGCTCCTTCTGGATTCAAAATGGTGTCTTTATCCTACCGCTGTGGTAGCTTTAATGTATATGTTGTATCTAGAATAAAGAGCTTACAAAAATGTTATACCGACATGAATGCTTAGAGTCAGTCTTCCTGTTAGGATATTATGAATGGTGTGTTACCACTAAGGAGCATGATTCAAGTACCCAATGTCCTTCCTCTATTCCAGAACATCACACAGGTTACCCCACTATGTTGAATTATGATGTCTCCTTAAACTACAACCACTCGTCTGACAGACTGCCTTTTTCTATTTTATTTATGATATATATGTACTATTAATCCACATATTAATAGCACAGTTTGGGGTTTCGTAAAGACAATTTCTTTCAAGTATACCATGTACTTTGAGCATATTCATACCCTTTTTCTTCACCCTCGCTCTTATCTCCTTCTGCTCTTCTCTTCCTTTCCCTTGATTTTCTTTTATTTATTTATCTATTTATTTATTTATTTGTTTATTTATTCATTCATTCATTCATTCACTTTACATCTTAATAGACCCCCTTCCATCTCCAGGTCCCACCCTCTTCGCCCTATCTCTCCTCTCCTACCCCTCAGGAAAGGGGAGCCCTCCCCACCAACCCACCCCAGCACATCAACTTGCATCAGGACTGAGCACATCCTTTTCCAAGGTGGCTTAGCCAGGAAGCTCTGCCTCAGGGAAAGTGACTGAATGACAAGCAGGCAACAGAGTACACATCAGAGTCACTCCCTGCTCCCCTTACCAGGGTACTCACATGAAGACCAAGCTGCTCATCTGGTACATATATAGAGAGAGGGCCTAGGTCCAGTCTATGCATGGTCCATGGTTGGTGCTTCAGCCTCTGCAAGCAACCCCTCCCCAGCTCCTGGCCCAGGTTAGTTGGCTCTGTTGGTCTTCATGTGGTGATCCTGTCCCTTGATTTTCTTTATGTTTTATGCACCAATTGTTAGAAAGGACCTCT